ATGGTGGAAGGGTCACATTAACCCTATTTCCTATCCTTGTCATTGTGAAGATTTGGCAGATAAACCTCCAATCAGGCAGTGCATGTAATTAAACGCACAAAGATTTTGGCAGTTGTCATCAGAACTCTCCACACAACTAAAATCATGATAGACCCAAGTAGTAAACCTCTGTTCACCAGAACGTTAAGTTCGAAGGAAATAGAGATGACTGGATAGATGGTTGGGTGGATAGTTACATGGGATGAGTGAGTGGCTGGCTGGAGAGATGAGGACCAGATAAGTAAAGATGAATGGAGGGATGATGACTGGGTGGGGAAATGAAGGATTACTGAAAGCATGAAGAGATGTCTGGGTGCATGATGTGTGAAGAAATGAAGAGCTCATGCATGGAAGATTGGACAAGTAGAAAGAGGTTGAATGACTGGATGACTGGAATATGGGAAGCCAGGGAGGTAGTGGTTCTCTGGCTGTTGGCAGAATGGGTTGGATGGATGGAAACATGGAGAGATAGATGAATAGAGTGTACTGATGGATGGTGGGGGCACTAAATGAGCAGAAAAATCAACAAATGGGTGGCAGAAGAGTTGGCTAATCTTTAGAGGAAGATTTACAGTAACACCAGTGCTTGAGGTTTATTTGGTAAAGATACTAACCGTGAATGATGAAATGAGTGAATTAACCTTAAGACCACTGTGCAATATCAGAGAGCACAGGGAAGTCTTTCCAGGATAAGAGCTACTCTACATAAAGGAAAAATGTGTGGCCAAGGCTTTTCCTGAATTCTTGCCCCTTCTTTCTTTGGGCTGTGGAAACAGACAGGGGAGAAATGGTGCCGGTCTTACCGCTGAGCCACGCTCCTCCTCTGACAGTGTAGCTGGAGGATTCTGAGGGTTGCTGTGGAGGAAAACAACCAAGGCGGGGGCTGGGAGAGCTCTTGAGAGCCAGGGGTGGCTGGAAGTGAGGGGCCCTGTGACATCAAGGCCTTGAAGGGTACTGGAAACATTTGGAGTTTGCTCTAAGTCAAGGGGGAGCACCCATGCTCAGGATTCAGTGGGATTCCCTGGGTTGTTCTGGGGAGCTGGGGGACCATGGAGGGGTGATGGAGTAGAGTGACCAAGACAGGGGAAAGACCTTTCTTCTTTCTCAGGACCTCCTCCAGGTGCACCTTCTCTTCATTCACTGGGAAAGACAGTGAGGCTTTGAGGTTCGGGGGCCACCCCCTGCCCACCCTATTACCCGACACCAGGGACATGTTCCTGGTCACACATAAGACAGTGCAGTGCCAGGAGAGGGGAGATGCCTCCTAACCAGGCTTCACCCATCTCGTGCCCAACTTTCTGCATCTGTACTCACATCCTCTGCTAGTGCCAGAGGAAGTGACAGCCCCCTAGAAGGCACTAGGCTCAGGCTGAGGGCAGCTATGAAAAGATAACCAAGTCCAGTGGCAATCAAGGCTGGGACATAACAAGCCGAGCAAGGGAGCCTGACAGGCAGAGGGAAGGCAGTTGTCTGGGACCAGCAAGGTAGGACTGTTGGAATGACATCTGGGAGCTGAGGGTGATTTGAGAATGCAAGAGGCAATGTGGATTATGCCGGAAGAGAGTGCTGGTGGCAGGTGGAGGGGACAGATAAAAGAGAGGAAGGGCATGCAGGAACAGGGCAGTGGTCAGTGCCTACAGGATGGAGGATTCCCGCCTCTGTCCCTGCTTACAGGAGTCCAGCTCCATGTGCAGGGCCTCCCAAAGAGCTTGAGCTTCTTGCTGTCCCTCATTGGACTTCTTTGCTGGGGCAAAGAGAGGAAGGAAAACAACATGGTGAGTGAGGTCTCTCACCTGGCTCGCCCCTCCCAGACTGTGACCCTCTCCATGCAGTTCCCAGCCACCTTCTTGGAGACTGGAGTTGACAGAGGCAAGGGTGGGGCCTTTACCTTGTTGAATATCATTAATGCGGATAATCAGGTCTTTAATCTGGGGCTCCAGACTTCCCTCTGCAGGAGAAAACGACAGTTGAGCAGAGAGAGAGAGAGAGAGAGAGAGAGAGAGAGAGAGAGAGAGAGAGAGAGAGATCAGGATGGTTCAGAGGCAGATGGAGACAGGACGGCAGGACGGACAGGTGTTAGACTCTACCTCACTGCTGTCACCAAACACACGTTTACTGGCTGTGTCCCTGGCTCTGGAGTGGCCTTACCAGACCTGCATTCTGGGGGCTGGGGGGAGAGATGGGCATGGTGCAAAGACACAGGATACCAATGTGCGAGACAGGGACTGCTGAGAAGGAAAACAAAGGGGCACGGAAAGGAAGGGAAGAAGGTGCCTCTTGAGGGGGTGGGGAATTTCTGGTGCAGGTGGGGGATGGGGTGGGTAAAACAAGTCAAAGGCCCTTCAGTGGGAGGGAGTTATGGTGTGGGGGGGCGGGGAATGTGGCAGGTGTGAGTCTAGTGGACAGTGGAGAGTGGCAGGAGGCAAGGTGGTGGGACAAGGAGGTGTCAGGTCACTCTGGGTGTCCTGGGACCTGGTAGAGGCTTCTGGGTGAGGTTCAGAGGTGACTGTGGTCTGCCCCACCCAAGTCAAAGTCTGGAATGAATTGTCACTTGCATCTGTCCTTCTTGTCTCTGATCTCATGATGGGAAGCACAGAATTGGGGCAATCCTTACTAGGTCACCCCCGATACTCTGGAGTATATAATAATGATGATGATGATGATGACGACGACGACAAAAAAGCTCTGGAGTATATAATAATCTACTTTCTGGCCCTGGTTTTTCTGTGGGTACTAACTGTGGGCGCTCTCCAGGGTGCTGACCGTGACAGCCCCTTCCCTGGGGGGCTTCACTGAACTGGAGGTGAAGGGTTATTCTCCACTCTGGTCCTTCCATCAGCAACCTAGGAGCAGCCCTCAGCCTCCACTGCATGCAGTCACGCGGCAGGAGTCTGGGGAGATTCCCTTTTATTCGGAGCAGACTGAGAAATTATAGTATTTTCCATTGAAGATGAGGTGAGGGGGCAGGGGCCTAACCTTAGACCCAGGCAGCACTCTGCCCCAGCCCCCCACCTGTAAAGAAAAGAAAGGTAGGGAGCCATTTCCAAGGTCACACATATATGTATATAGGCAAAGAAAATAGTCTTCACCAATATCTAGAAAAAAATATCTAAAAATTGAAAAATAGCTGTTTCTGGACTCGTGTCAAGGAAATGGGTGGCTGGTGTGTGTGTGTGTGTGTGTGTGTGTGTGTGTGTGTGTGTGTGTGTGAGTGTAGAGGGTTCCATCCTCTTATACTTCTATAATTCTAGAATTATAATTCTATAATTCTGAAGATGGTTTTGCTTTTTATTTATTTGCTCAAAGACTTTAATTGTATGGGGCGGAGTGCTCAGAGAGATAGTACAGGGGTGTATTCCTTGAAAGCAGCTGACCCCAGTTCAACTGGCGCCACCTGACCACCTGCTCTCCCCAAAATTGGCAAATGCAGGCCTGAAGGCCATTGAGCACTGCTTGATGTGTCTCCAGAACACAGGGCCCAAGCACTACATTGACTTCTGCTAAGAATCGCCGGGAGGGGAACACCTGAATGTCATTTGGGAGCCCCTGAAAGTTTTGTTTAGGAGGGGAAGGCACGACAGGATCATTGTCCACAGTTATGAGGACTCTAGGCTGGGCAGGGAACACCTTGGCTGGACTCGAAACGCTAGGCTGCGCCTTACACACAAGGAGACACGTAACCTTTCTGCAGCTTTTTCACTATTTCCAGCAAGTTTTCCGTCTTCTTCAAAGACTCGTTCTGCCCTGTGGAGATGCAAATCAGAAACACAGGCTCCAGGGAGAGTCAGTGGGGTCTGAAGAGGGGCCCGACCGGTCAGGGATGGGAGGGAGCAAGCCCCAGTGGGGTTCTGTCAACAGAACTGACCAGGGTCAGGGGTGGATTTCCAGCCAGAGAAGGGCCCTTGCAGGACCCCTCCCTTTTGGCCCTTGTGCTGGATGAAGCAGGACTTGGTGGTCAACCTTTTCATGAGAAGACAAAGGACACCTCGGAACTCTCCTTACTGGAACGGGTTGGTGATGACAGAGGAACTGCTGGTGTTCAAAATGAGTTTGAAATTCCAACCTGTGGACTGTGGCTCCACAGTTTCATGGGTATTTCTTTACAATCATTATTGGTCACAATTCACAAATTCCCAAAGCATTGTTGGAGTAGGAAAGGATGATACATGGTTGCTAATATCAAAAATATATAAATTAAAGACAACTGGGGCACAAATGCCCGGCATGTGAGACGTCAGGGATCATCAGTCACATGGTTGGTTCCCTGAGCATTGAGCCAGGAGTAGCCCCAGAGCACTGATGCATGAAGCTCAAAAACAAAATGCAAAGCAGAAAAAGACAAACACATTTTACGAATGTCTTGGGACAGTCAGTGAACACATTGCCTAGGAGGGACTGTTGCTTCTCGCTCCACTGAGGTATTCATTCTATCAGGTTTCCACATCTAAATATCAACTTTGAGGATATAGATGTGGTATTTGTGATTACTTATTTTCTTTTTAATATTTCATTCTGAAAAATTTCAAATGCCCTTGTAAGTAAGATTCTATAAAGAACTCCAACGGAGACATCACCATGTCTGATAATCATTAATATTCATTTGCTTCTGCTCTTTTTGCCAGGCTGAAGTATTTTCTAGTAAGCTCAAGGTTGCATTCTTAACATTTCACCTCCAGATACTTCATTAAGAGTCTCAACTTCTAAGGCCCGTTTCTTAAAATGACCCCAATCCTCTAACCAGACAGATGACTAACAACCACCAAACAATAACATGCAATTTCCCAACTGTTCCCATGTCTTTTGCACATTCTCAGAAACCTCCTTCTGTATTTTTCCCTCTCCACTACATTCCCAGTGTCAGTCATGCGGTGAGATGGGAGAGCAATCTCTTAAATCCTACCAACATTTTGATCATTCCTTTTGTTATAAAGCAAAATAGTATATGGGACATTAGGTGCCTTTAAAAAAAACTTTTTTATTGGGAAATAACATCAGATATACATAAAAGCTGTAGACATAAACCACCGTGCTATTTGCCCTGTTATCAAATTTCCCATTTGTGAGCATTTCTGCACAGTAACTGCAGGTATCCTGATTCGTCATCCTTAATATTGCAGTTCTTATTCCCTATATTCCAGGGAACACTAACAGATCACAGTTTAGCCCCAAATTGGGAGGTTAATATTGATCCAATGTTAATATATTACCCAAAATTTCCTCTGGTTTACAACTCTATAACTTTACAACTTTATACCATTTACTTTTATTTTTTTCCCCCTTTAAAAAATACACCTACCACATTCTGGCATTGCACATCATATCTGGGTATACCTTAATATAGTCATTTTCTTATTTTTGGGGTTTTGCCTTCATTACCCACTTACTGATCTTCCTGGTCCACATGCCCGTGTATTCTACATTTACCTAGCATGGTGATGGAAGATGCGAAAGAACACGTATCTTAAAAATATCCTGCCAAACCACCTCTAATAGACTTCCTCCACAGTGATTAATACCAGGTATTATTCCTTCTAGAAAGCCAATTTTGTTAGATTAGAAATGGTTATATTTTCTTTATTTTTCGTCATTGCTAATAAAGTTCATCACAACTTCAGTTTGGGGGATCTGAAAGTTTTTTTTTTTTTTAAGCAGTGGACGTTACAAAAATAACGCTTAACAAATGAGATCTATTTGCATCTGTCTGTGCTTGGTTAAAAGTTGGCACTTAACATGTGGCTCTTCTCTGAGTTATTTCATTATTCACAAACAAAAAATTCATAAGCCCAGCATATATCCTATATGCTCAGCAGGCACCGTTTTTAGGTGCTGGGGAACCTCATGGAGTTCTCTTCCTATATTGGCCAACAAACATGTAAGAAAAATTGTTCATGTCTGCATAGCTAGATCCTGAAAGACCTAATCAATATACATTATTGACTTAGGGGCTTCAAGAATGTACAGGAAAGGTTGGAAATAAATGAAACGGCAAAGCTGGTAAGTAAATGAACCAAGTGCTAGATGGGTCTTTTTTTTTTCCAAGCTAATTTGTATACTTTGGTTACATTAGGAGAATTCCTACAATTACTGAGAAAAAAAACAAAAAAGAAAGCAAGAAAGCCAGTGGCATGGTGGATCACTGACTTGGCAGATTTTCATTGATTTGGAGACTGCACTTTCCAGTTGTTTCTAGAACAAGTTGACCCCTCTCACTGAGGTTTGGGGTGTCTTTATCAACACCACTCCCTGGAGAAAAGCAGCCGTCTGCAGACGTGGCCATTCTCCCTGGAGTTTGGTGTCCACGCAGGGTGGGGTGGGCAGGGAGTGGATCGAAGAAACTGAACAAGTGCGGTTAGTTTGCTGCAAGGTGGCAGCAGATGTCTCTGAGAACATCCATCCCCCCGCCCACCGCCCCCTTTTCAAATTTGGAGAAAGGCATGCTCAAGTATTTAATCTGTTATTTACTGCGAAGGACCCAGGCAATGGATCTGATGGTTAATCTACAAAAGTTAACCCAGAAGAATACACGTTATCTCCACTTGGTGGAGCAGTAAATTTTTTTTTGGAGGCTTTCAATTGGATTCTTTTTTTTTTAAAGTGGTTTCAAGGACATTTCCTTATCCTAGGGAGCTCGAATCTCTCATAGCGTCTCACTACCTTCAGCCTCTTGCACCACTTCCGGGGTCTCCACTCCCAAAGGCTCCATCTTCCGGGCTATGTGCAGTGCAGGGGGTCCGCACATGCGCCGTGGGCACGGGCTGGCGGGGATGCGGACCCGACCCCTCGGCAGTGCGCATGCGTGCGGGGTGCTGGGAGTAACAGTCCACAGCCGTGGTGGGGGGGAGGGGCGAGGCCTCAGTTCTGGGCAAGTGCACAGCTTCCCTGCCCCTGGGGGGACAATTAGTGCTTGTGGGGCTGCCCCAAAGCCTGCAAAAGCAGCTTTGAAAAAACAAGGACACAATTTAGGGTCTTGGTCAGTTGGAGGTGGGGGGAGGGGCAGCGAGTATTGTGTGTGCGTGCTTACATGTGCACACACACACCCCTGAGGTGGGCCCTTCCTCTCCAGGTTGCTCGTCTTGTACAGGCTCTGCAGCTTTCGGGCAGATGTGCTGTGTAGTGGTGGCCCGGAGTTCTGGCCCTGGTCAGCTCACAAACGCTCTAGAACAGCGGCAGGGGGCTTGGACTGTGGGTAGGGGGCTTGCCTTGCACAAGGTCCACCTGGGTTCGAGCCCCAACACCCTATATGGTCCCCTGAGCACAGCCAGGAGGAACCCTGAGCATCGCTGGGTGTGGCCCCAACCCGCCCCGCATCCTCTGTAACAGCTAAGGTGAGGTTGAGTAGCGCCATGTAGATGAGTAGAGCTTGAGAAGCTAAGCGTGCGCTCTACGACGTTCAAAACGTGGTATCTGGGCCACGGGGAAGCCAGGTGCATTGCTGGGGGCCACCTCTGCAGTAACATTAGCAGCGACCGGCATTGATGGCGGTCATCCCTGACTGGGTCAAGGTCATGAGTGGTAGAGGAAGTGTCCTTGAGATTTGGCTTTCAGCCTTTCGGGTACACTATACCCTTGGTTGGTTCTGGGCACAGGTTGGTCCTGCACCCTCACATCGAGAAACCCAGTGCCACCTCAGCCTGCCCTGAACACTTCATGCTGAGATTCCATCAAGGCCAAGGGGGCTGACTCCTGACGCAGGACAAAGTGCTGAGGTGCCCGGGACTGGAGAGGCAGACCCTGTCAGAAGCTGGAACATCATCCAAATGCAGCTGAGGCAGGAGGCCTGGCCCAGGGAGGCCTGAGGGTCTCCCCAGAGGCTGAGGTCTTTGGGAGGCCCGGGGAGGCAGCCCGTTCACCTGCGTGGACTCGGCTGTCACCATCTCAGCTCTCCCTCCAGCCTGATAACCACCAGCACCCCTCCCAGTCACACTCCCCAGGAAGGGCCCGAAGAGAACGGCCCCAAAGGGGTGGCGCTCAGCTCTACCCCATCCGGGAGCTCCGCCTCTTAGAGTCCCGTGAATAAGCCATTGTGGGCAGCCTGGTCCGCAGGGGCAGCTGGGGCGGCCGGGGGTGTGGAGTACTTGGGTGGGTAACGAATGAAGAGCCGGTCCTCCTCTTTCTTCACCCAGCGCAGAAGTTTGGTCACTACTAAGATGGCCCCTGCCTTGGTCACCAGGGGGCTGAGGCAGGTATAGAGCTCAAACTTGGAGGTCACCTGGGGTTTGGAGAAGAAAGAGAGTCAGAGGTGTCAGAGCTGGCTAATCTTGCCCAGCCCAGCACGCCCCATGCCTGTCTCCTCAGTGAGTCTCCAAACACACCTGATGGCAGCCCCGGCACGGACTAACGCAGGTGAACGGGTACTAGGAGTCCCAGCTTCGGCAAGGGGCTGGAGCTATCTAACAGCTTCGAGTCAAAGGTGTTGGCTATTGGGGGTGGGGGGGGGGTGTTCTCAGGCCCTCTGTGCTCATGCGGGACTGGGGGGGGGGGGCAAGGCTGCACACTGAGTCAGCGGTTGCTACTCTACGAGGTTTGTCATAAGCACCATATACCTGTTTTCCTCCCCATAGCCTGGACGCACAATGAAAGTCTACGTAACGCCCATAGCACCCTGAGGCCTCACCTGACCAGCTTTCCCACTGCCTCTTGGGCTGCTCTGGCCTAACCAGCTCTATCCTGTGTCAGCATCTGCAGAGTGCCCCTCTCTGCTGAATGTGCACTGCCTCCAGAAACCCTCAGGCCCCACAAACCCGCTCCCCACTCAGGTGCACAGCCACATGCACTGGCCCCCTGACCCTGGATCTAAAGGCCTGGGGGAACCAGGTCATTATCCTTGACCATGTCAACGCTGGAACATGTCCACTGAATTCTGGCCTAGTTAAAGGGTATAGGGGTTCCCTGAAAAAATGACTGATTTCAGGAGCGGCACAAAGAACTAAAGATGAGCTTAGCAAAGCTCGTAGCAGAAAGAAATGCTCAGGCAGTGATGGGGTCCCATTAGAAAGACACGGGGGTCTCTCTGGTTAAATCAAAGTCTGTTAGAGCACTAAAAGAAATGACAGAAAAGGATTTTAGCCCGCTAAAGAGAAACCCAGCAGACCATACAGAAGTAAAATGAAAAATTCAATAAACAGTAAGTTTTTTCTCAGGTAGTAGAACTCAACAATTAAAAAAAAAATAGAAGGAATGATGGAATTTGAAAAGTCACCATTCAGTCAAGAGCAAAGTAGTACCTGTTGCAGCTAGAATCATTAATTAATATTTAACTTAGTGGAGGACTGCTCCAATGACAAACAGCAGAGACAATCACAAAGAAGTCACAAGTTGGGAAGGATTAACCTCATGGAGGTGAAATCTGGCACACATGACCTGACTTTCATAACAATAAGATATTTGTAGAAATTCATGTTGAAGAGTATCCCGCCCGAACAGCAGAGCCTGGCAAGCTACCCGTGGGTTATTCAATATGCCAAAAAATAGTAACAAGTCTCATAATGGAGACAATGGTGCCCCGCTCCAGCAAATCTATGAACAATGGGAGGACAGTGCTACAGTGCTACATGTTGAGGAACATGCTATAAGCTAACTGGGTACTCATGGAAAGTGACAAGGTTACAAAAGACAACAAGGACCAAGGGCTGTTTCAGAATAAATGCTACAATAAATCAACCCAGCATGTGGTCCTCAGGTGAATTGTGGACTAGTAAAAGAGCACTGGCAGATGAATGGTAAAAGCTGAAGTCTGAGGATCGTGATAATGAATTCCTAAGCTGGTGGTAGCACCGGGAGAAACTAGGTGAAGGACATCATAGTAATTACTTGTTCTCTAACTTCTTTGTAAGTCTAATATTGCTTGAAAAATCAAAGTTCAAAACAAAACCTGGGTCCAGAAAGATAGTACAGTGGGCAGGGTGTTTGCTTCGCACGCAGCTGACCCGGGATCCCTGGCACTCCATCCAGATGGTCCACCTGAGCTCTGTCAGGAGTGAGTCCCTAACTGCAGAGCCAGGGTAGACCCTGAGCAAAACCGGATGTGCCCCCAAAATAAAAAGTTTAAAAAATATACTTGTGTCCCAGAATGCCCCATGGACAGTAATTTGCAAGAAATGATTTAGCCAATATGCCCTGAATGCGGAGCCTGGGCAAAGTCCTACAAAGTCACCTTGAGTCACAGTTATAGGTGAGGCTAAAAGGTCAGAAGACACCCCTGGGATAAGGGTCCCTAGACAGAAGGCATGCTCTGAGACCAACCCTGTGGGGACTCAAGGGGCCGAAACTTGCTGGGGGGCCAGCATCTACAATGAGGCTTGTTCCCCAGGCATCTGAGAGTCAAGGTGGGGTACCCGCTGCTCATGGTGTGACAGAAAACAGCTCTGGTGCTAAGAACAGGTCACAGGCACCGGCAGTGATGCTGACAGGCTTCAGAAAAGCGTGGGACGGCAGGGACAGAGCCTGGGAAAAAGCTGAGCTTGGGTCGAGGTGCATTGTGCAAGAAGGAGGCCGCTAGGACTGGAGAGACAGTGGCAGGGAAAGAGCCTGAAGGGGCACCCCTCGACCCGGCCCACTCACCCAGGCCAGCAGCGTCTCCTTCTCCGCCACGTGGTAAATGAGGCGCAGGGGCCGGGAGGTGCTGTGGAGGCGCGCGTGCAGGCGGTGGTAGAGGTCGGACAGCCGCTGCCTCTCCTCCTCGCCGCTGTACGGGGCCTCGAGCTCGGGGCTGCAACGACGGGGCCAGGTGGGACACGGGTTGGGGGGGGGGGGAGAGGGGAAGGGGGAGTTAAGGGAGAAAGAAGGGGACAGTTAGCCCCTCCCATGAGTGCTGGGGCTTCCTTTATTAGAATAGGGGATTTCTGGACCCGTGGAGGATCTGGTGATCAAACTGCTTTCACGAGAGAGGCACGGTACCTGGTGAACTGGGGCAGCTGGCGGTGGTGGTCTGGGATGTCCAGTGGTTTATAGAGGAAGTGCCGGAGGCCGGGGGCCCCCACCGCCTGCACACTGTAGGCGGGGACACGGGCTGCGGGGGCGCTGGCCGCCTCGGCCAGGGCGCGCATGGCCCCCAGGGCGTGCATGCCGTCCTCAACCAGGCGCCGGCAGGTGGCCATCTCGTGGAAGGCCTCGGGGTCGGTGCCCAGCAGCAGCAGGCAGACGGGCATGGCGTCCAGGCGGGCCACGTAGGCGTAGAAGAAGCCGTCGGGGTTGAAGCGGGGCAGGCACACGGGCGCCCAGGCCTCGCCCGCCGCGAAGGCCGGCGCGCCCACCCAGTCCAGCAGCAGCTGCAGGTCGGCGGGGTCCAGCCGGCACTCGGCCAGCACGTTCCGCTCCTGGGCTGCGGTCACCAGGCGGCCGCCCACCGCCAGCAGCGACAGGGCCAGCCCCGGGGCCGTGCACCGCCGGAGCAGGGTGCCCAGAGCGTCGCGCAGGGTGCGGGCCAGGGGCACGCACCGCACGGCGCCCAGCAGCAGGGCCCCCGGGTCGTGCTCCACGCTGTCCAGGAGCCGGTCCAGCGTGCGCTCCGAGCCGGTCAGCAGGCGCCGGAGGTCGTAGTTCTGCTTGTGCGCGAAAATGCGGGCCACGCTGGCGCGGGTGAGCGTGCTCACGATCTGCGCGTGCACGGCCAGCAGCTCCCCCCGCAGCTGGGCCGCCGACTGTGGCGTCCTGGACACGGCCACCAGCAGCAGGGGCCCCTGCTGCAGGAACACCAGCTTGTGGTCCTCTAGGGAGGAAAGAGAAGGGGGGGGGGCACGAGGCAGAGATGGTCACAAGTGGGGGGAGGCCCTCCCCACGCAGTACACGCCCTCCAACGCCCACTCTGGGCAAGGTGGGGGGGGACTTGGACCTTTGCAGGGACAGGTTGGAAGGCCCAAGAACCAGGTGCGACAAGAGGCCCGCAGGAGGGGCGGATGGAGAGGGGGACAGACACCCAGCCAGAAGGAGACCTGACACAGCCACAGACTCCTGCAGCAGAGAACTATCGGGTCCCCTGGGCTCAGCCCAGTCTGCCGGCATCCCGCGTCCCCTCTCCTGCGGCCGCAGAGCCCAGACACCGACCTCCAGGAGCCCAGCGCCCCGCCCGCTGCTCACCGGCATAGATGGCACGGATGGCATCTCCCGCGCTCTGCACGAAGGACACGAGCGCCGTCATCACGCCCATGGTGGTCGACAGCGCCTCCACGCTCCCGTACCTGGAGTAGATGGGCTTGCCTGCCTCGCTCAGCACGAACACATGCTTCCGCTTGTTGCGCCAGGCCTCGTCACTGGGGTCGTCGCCACCACTGAAGTCCTCATCCCGACTGCCCGAGCCACTGTCCGGGCCATCCAGGCCTGAGCCACTCTCTGGGCCATCCAGGGTGTTGGTCTCGGGGGCCGCAGGGTCCCAGAGGTCACAGGGGTGGGGAGGAGCCTCGGACTCCGGTGGCGGTGATGGGTGGGCTGGCTGGTCTTCGGTCTCAAATGCTGAAAGGGGGCCCTTCTGGTCATTTGTCCGTAGAGTCCCTGGAACCCCAGTGTCCAAGGATGCCACCCCCCCACTCCCCACCAGGCTCTTGGTAATTCCTAGCCCCCGCCTTATCCCAATGAACCAATCGCTGCAGTATTGATCATTTCATGCCCCTACAAACCAATTCTTCCCCTCTCAATACCTGTCGGTCCCAATCTTCAAAACGCCTCATTGCCCAATTCTTGCTCATATTTTCATCTTCAGTGATTCCCCCATTAATAACGACCTCAAATGAATTCTTCTCATATCTACTCACTCATCACGATGGCGGCCACCATACCTGGGTCTCTGCCCCTCTCCACTAACCTAACTCTGTATTTTTTCCTCATTTATATCCACTCACCCGTAATGATCCCACTGATTCTCTTAGATTTTTTTTTTTTTTTTTGGTTCACAACCAGCGATGCACAGGGGTTATTCCTGGCTCTGCACTCAGGAGTTACTCCTGGCAGTGCTCAGGGGGCCATATGGGATGCTGGGAATTGAACCTGGGTGGGTTGTGTGCAAGGCAAACAAACACCCTACCCGCTGTGCTATCTCTCCAGCCCCTCTCTTAGATTCTTGAGCACTAATTCTCCCCACAAAGGCCATGAATCTCCACTAATACTCGGGGCCTATGACTACCTTATTTACTGTCAGGCTCTTCACTAACACTCCACTCCACGTCACATGACTGTCCTGACCTATATTCCACTCCACCAGTCACCACTATTTGCTTCCACTAACATCCAACGCTGGAGCGATAGCACAGCGGTAGGGCGTTTGCCTTGCACGCAGCCAACGTGGCCGACCCGATTTTGATTCCTCCGCCCCTCTCGGAGAGCCCAGCAAGCTACCGAGAGTATCTCGCCCGCACGGCAGAGCCTGGCAAGCCACCCGTGATGTATTCGATATGCCAAACACAGTAACAACAAAATCTCCAATGGAGACATTACTGGGCCTGCTCGAGCAAATCGATGAACAACGGGAGGGCCTTTACTTTACTTTAACATCCAACACTTCTGTTGACTTCCACTGGCTTCTCAAACACTAGAGATGAAACCCCATCATCACACTCACAGGAATCAACAGTGCCACCCCACTCCAGACAGCAAGCAGCCGGGCTTGCCACCCTCAGTGTCACCCTACTGACCACCCCCCCGGACATTCTTTCCTTTTCACTGTCAACATGTCCCCTGAAACCCCAATGACCATCATCATCGCCATTCGACAAGTCTCCCCAATCCCCCCAGCGGTCCCAATGACCACTGATTTCCCCATCCTCTCATGAACACCACCCCCATGTCCCACTTACCAATGACCCCTTATCAATAACTGTCACTAGCTGCCAATAGTCCCTAAGTTCTCTTCACCACTTACTCTCAATAAGGTCCAGTGGTCCTGCCCAATGGCCCCTTTATCATTCCCCAATCCCAAGGGGGTCAATGCCCACTGACCCCACCCAGTGGCTCCATTGCGGCTCCATCGACTACACACCCACCTGAAGCGTCCAGACTCCTGTCTTGCTCCTCTGACTCTCCAAACCATCCCATAGAAAAAATCTCATGGTGGTCTACTGCTTCCCTGCTCATGACCACCAGGAACATCCACCCATAGCGAACGCCTTAAATTCATCACAGAAGAAACCCTGTCCACCTGTCACACTTCTCCCGCCCACCATGGACTCACACATCTCCAGTGCCCCTCTCTGCCTGCCTCCCATGGATCCCTACACTCACACCAAGTGCTCACCCGCCAAGAGATCTCGCTTTCTCCTTAGCTCCAAAAAATGACATCGACCAAGGGGGAGGGGTGGCGGTGATGGTGACTTACAACAACCCGTGGGCTTGCATTAAATCCTCCTGATTTAATGCACACCATGTCACCCCACAAACAAAACAAAGGCACCCCGGGGAAAGTCGCACCTGTGCGCCCCAGGCCCCCGTCTCCCGGATCCGGATCCGGCGGGTCCTCCGGGTCGGGGCAGCGCGCGTCCTCCACGTCCTCCGCGTCCCCGGGCACCGGGGCAGCGGCGCCTCCTCCGGCCTCCATCTGCACATCCCTGCCGGGGAGAGCACAAGCGGGGGGTCGTTCACGGGCAGCGGGAGGCACCTGCTGGCCGCCGTCGCGGGGCCGGGCCCCCCGGGGACACTCTCGCAGCGCCCCTTTCCCACCCCTGCCCTCCCCGGGGAGGGCTGCCACACGGCCAGGCGCTCCCGGCACGGGACCCAGCGGGGCGGGGGTCCTGCACCCGCCGGCCGCTTCGGGGGGGAAGAAGAGCCGCATAAACACCTGTTGGCACGCCGCGTCGCCACTGCCCGGCCCGCTGGACCGGCTCGCAGCACCGCCCCGCGCCGGGCAGCATGACACTTCCGGGTGCGACGCCGCGCAGAGGACACTTCCGCCGGGGGAGCCGCCGCGCTCCTCTCCCCGAGGGGCCCGACCCCTCTCTCCCGCCGCCCACGGGCGCGCCCTCACCGCTGACAAGACTCGCGCGGCTCCCGGGTCCACCTCGGCTCGGGCTGCGAGCCCAGGAGCCCCCGCCGCAGTCCTCCCCGCGGCGCCGGCTCGCGCGGCCCCGAGGCCACCCCGCCGCCTTCCGGTTACCGGGGGCTTGAAGGGGGCGCGGCTCACCTTCAGCCAATCCGGAGTAGCCCGGGTGGCACCGCCTCCCCTGTGGTCCAATCAGAAGAGGCGGACTCTCCGGGCCGTCCCGCCCACGGCGAATCGCTCCCGGCGCTCGCGTGTGGGTTTGCTATCGTTTCCGCCCGTCTAGTAATTGACGTCCTTCATAGCCAATAGGAAGCTCCGGCGAGACCTTGGCCGACCAGTAGGCGTGCCCCACCGGAACGGAGGCAATTTGGCTATTCCTCGGTCTCGGAGGGAAGGCCGGGGCAGGGAAGGCAGAAGCCGGGCAGAGATGTGGTATGTGGTATGACGGACAGTCGCCGCTGCCAATCAAAGCGTTGCGCGCAGCTGGTCAGCCGCGGGAACTCGACAACTAAAGCGAGGGCCGGCTTCTCGGATGTTGGAAGTGTCCGTGCGTTTATTCAGGGCTCGGCGGGAAAGGGAAGGTGTGAACTGGGGCATCCTTTTAAGGGCGCCAGGGAGTGAGTCTGCAAAGGCCGTGTACAGGGTGACCTCAATCCTGCAGTCAAAGGCTCGCCGCCTGGGCTTATATACCCATTAGAGTGACCTCAAATCCGAAGACTGGTCTCTATAGGCGGCTTATGCAGATTAGGCGCCCCGTGGGCGTGGCTTTGAGACTCCTGACTCCCCATTGGCTGAGGGGAGTGACCCCTCCCCCTCCGCGGCCCCTGCGGGCTTCCATTGGTTGGCCTGGAAGAGGGCTTGGGAATTGGCAGCTGAGGCCCGCCCCCTGGACGGTGCTACTTTGGAAAGGCGGTTTTAGATGCTGGGTCTTAAGCTTGTTGGCGAGTCTCTGCGGTTCTAGCTGTCATTTTCAATGTGGTTTCTGGAAGGCGACGCTGCTGCTGCTCTGAGCTCTCCTCTTCTGCTCTGAATGACTGCCAGTGACTCCCAGCCTGTCTCCCAGTGTAGCACTGCCAATCTGCCTCCCTCAAATCCACATGTCCCAATTTTTCCCAGGTTAAGAACCCTCCCCTTTCTCCATCTTCTGATTTCTTCAAACAAACAGTACAAAAAGTACAAAAAGCTGTCTTAAACTAGTAGTGCCCGCCAGTTCTGCCAGATTAGGGACAGCACCAGCTTCTCAAGGGATTCCCCCCCTTCATGCCACCAAACATGCTCAGTTCTGAGATGCTCTTATTAGACTGCCTCAGGGTCTGAGTGCTGGTAAGAGGGATTGAAAGGTAAATGAATCGCACACCCTTTAGCCTCCTGCCTCCACCCCAGCCCCCCCCAATTGCTTTATAATTTTTACATGTCAATAAACATTTTAAAGTTCCTGGACTTTCAAAAGAAAATTCTAGCTTGTTCAGGCCTTTGTTCAGTTCCTCTTTCACATGTTGATGGCTCTTTCCAAGACTCCCCACGCCTGTTCCTTATAACCTGGAATAACACTGTGTGCTCCAGCGGAGAGCAGTTAAGCCAGAGACAGAAGAAAGTTAGAGACAGCTCTGGGAGAAGGCAGCTGTGCTATTAGATCCAAACGCCCTGTGAGTTGGGTTCCAGGAAGAGAACTTCAGGACTCTGTCTGGGTCAAATCCTCCATCTTTTCTTACAGAGGCTAATCTCAGACAAGACGCTGCAGCTGTGAGAAAGACCAAGTCAAGTGTCCGTCAGCAGGTTGGCTGGTTGTGCAGATTGAATCCACGGTCTCACATGTATGAGATGTGAACTCCGCTTTATATCTCTTTAATCTCATATGCACATGCTCAGGATTATAGTAGTTTCCTAGCCCAGGATAACAGTAGTTTCTTCCCTCCAACATGCTTATGACATGCATCCATCTGGCTGGCTTTGGGAGTGTGTGGGAGATGGAAGGTGAGATAGGGAGTATTGATCTCCTGGGATGCAGGACAGATGAAAACAGAGGTCACTCCCCTTTCCCAGGATATTAGCTCCAGGATATTAGTTCCCAGGATATTATTCAGCTTCTTGCTTGCAATAAGGTGGTGCCTGGCAGAGGTGTCACATCCTGGGGCAGAGTGGAGCAAGTGGTATGTGACTGGTACCTGCTCTGCCTGGGTGGACAGATCATACCCTCAGTGTCTGCACATGAGGGAAGCACAGCTGCCACCAGAGCTTTTGCCCTGTGAATAACCTCCAGAAAAACCACCCACCAGGTCTTTCTGCTCCCTCTGCACAGGCTTAGGTACAACTGACATTTATAAAGCTGATGTATTTATTGGCGCCATTTTATTTCTAATAAATGTGTTGGTAATATTTAGAATTTAGAATAATGACCCCCTAAGTGCCCTAATTCTCCAAACCTGCATGTCTATGACCTTACGTGGCCAATAGGATTTGGCAGAGGTGATTACATTAGGTCTTTGAGTTGCGGACATTTACCATCAAACGGGATGAGCCCGTAAAAGTGGAACACATTCCCCAAATTGAATCAGAGTCTGAAAATGGAATAAGAGTCAGAGAGATTTCACATTATTGGCTTTGAATGGGCACAGAGGAGGCCAAGAGGCACATTGTGTGGAAAACAAGACCCATTACCACCAGGGAGCCTCCAGAAAGGAAGCAGCAGCACGCACCCCCTCAGTGGGCAGCCTGCAGAGAATTGGGTTGTGGTTCCATCACAGAGCACCGCAAGATGATGAATCTATGTTATGTATGTGGTTAGCAATGCAGCATTATGTTGTAGACAGAGCAAGAGAAAAAATACATACTAATTTTGAAAGAAATTAATGAAAACCAATCACAGTGACAGTCATTAAAGGGTGACCATGTCCTGGGCACCATTTGTGCCTTCTGCAAGCTGTAAATTGTTTAGCACTGTATTCCCAATCATCTTGGAAGACAAAGTTCTTTTCATATTATACCGCAGAATCAAAGGGCCCCAAAGCATAAGTGTCCTCCTTGTGAAAACATAGCCAGCAAGGAACATAGCCTGGATCTGACACTCAGTTTGAGACCTGGTGGCTCCACTTTCTGAAAGAGACTCTGATAGCCACATTTTGTATCCATTGTTCTCTACTACCCGGCTGGTGTCCCCCTATGAATCAATATGGATCACAAGAGAGGTGGAAATGTGCAGTTCCAGGAACTGAACACCAGGAGGTGCCTCTTCCATTGTTCATTTGCATTATGTTGTCTTCACAGCAATTAGAAGGCTGCACTTTTTGACAATCTTGTGCGCTATCATCACCTATGAAATAGACATGATGCCTCATTGACATTGCAATTATTTTTGTGTATAGAATTGCAATTAGTAGCCCGCAGATGCTGCTATAAACTAGGTGTAGATAATCCATACATTAACATATTTCCTGAGTGACTTAAATGAGGTGGAACCTCATTTATAATGCAATGTTAATTCTTGCTGCCATTCTTGCCCCCAACGCATAGCAATCACGGAGTTTAGGATAAGGAAATCAGCCAAAATAATCCTACTGCTGCATGTGTTCTGGGCTGGTCATATTTGTACCCTTTGCATGTGTTAATTAGTCTATACCTCTGCTGTCACTCATTACAGTGTTGGAAGTTGATGAGATCTGCATTTTTTTCACTATTATCATTTTAACTGGGTGCTGAAAGGTTAATAATTTATTATTTTAATGAATTACCATGAGGTAAAAAAGTTACAGACTTACAAACTTTCATGCTTACATTTCAGTCATACAATGATCGAGTACCCATCCCTTCACCAGTGCCCATTCTCCACCACCAATGATCCCAGTTGTAGGTACACCCAGTATCTCTCCCACCACCTCCACCCCCCCCCGCCCCGCTTCTGTGGGAGGGCATTCCCTTTTTCTTTCTCTCTCTCTCCTTTTGGGTGTTGTGGTTAGCAATAGAGGTATTGAGTGGCCGTCATTCTGCCTATAGTCTACTTTCAGCACACATCTCCCATCCTTAGTGGGCCCTCCAAGCACCCTTTACTTGGTGGACCCTTCTCTATCTGAGCTGCCTTTTCCCCCAGCATGTGAGGCTGGCTTCCGAGCTGTGGAGCAATCCTCCTGGTAGTCATCTCTACTATTCTTAGGTGTAAGTCTCCCATTCTGTTACTTTATATTCCACAAATGAGTGTAATCTTTCTATGTCTGTCCCGCTCATTCTGCCCCATTTCACTTAACATGATACTCTCCATGTGATCCACTTATATGCAAAATATCATGATCTCATCCTTTCTAACAGCTGCATAGTGTTCCATTGTGTAGATATACCAACGTTTCTTTAACCAGTCATCTGTTCTTGGGCACTCGGGTTTTTTCCAGATTCTGGCTATTGTAAACAGTGCTGCAATGAACATACAAGTGCTCATTGTAGAATGTAAACGTAAATGTCATTTCTACTATACTTTTTTACATCTCCGGGATATATTCCCAGAAGTGGTATTGCTGGGTCAAATGGGAGCTCAATTTCTAATTTTTTGAGAAGCGTTCATACTGCTTTCCGAAAGGGTTGAACCAGTTGGCATTCACACCAGCAATGAAGGAGGGTCCCTTTCTCCCCATATCCTTGCCAACACCGGTTGCTTTTGTTCTTTTGGATGTGGGCCAGTCCCTGAGGTGTGAGATGATATCTCATTGTTGTTTTGGAGATATGCATTTTAAAAATATATGTTTAATTTATTGAATCACCACAAGAGACAAAATTACAGGATTGTTCATAATTGAATTTTAGTTGTACAATATCCGAGCATCTATCCCTTCACCAGTGTCTACTTCCTTCCTCCAATGTCCCCAGTTTCCCTCCCACCACCAAGCTTGCCTCTATGTCATATACTTTTCTTTTTTTCCTTTTAGGTACTGTTTGCAGTACTGTTACAAAAGAGTATCCTGTATATTACTTTACCACCTTTCAGCACCCA